TGGGCGGCGGGCCAGGCCGGCGCGGCCGGGGCGAGGGGCTGACCTCCGCCGCCCCGCTGCACTCCACTCCGCTCGCTCTAAGCGCACCGTGCTTTGTACTTCGCGACCTCCTCTTTAGTTCTTAGATGTGGGGAGGGGGAAGGAAACACAAAGGAAAATCAGTTACCGCTGTTCTGCGTGGCAGACAAAACTCCACGAAACGCCGTCTAGTGGTGGAATTGCCCAGGGAAGCCTAGTCGTTTTCCTGCTTCCTCGAATTTTTATTTTAATTGGAACTTTGAGGGCCTCTTTACGTGTCAAACTGCAAAACGGGGCACAGGACCGTCTCTAGATGGTGGTAAATTTAGTCCCATAACCTGAGCCCGGCCCGGATGAATCCAGAATGTTAAACTATTTTCTGCCTCTTTCGTATATCACCTTTCTTTGAGGACAAAAGTACAAAAACCGCTTCTAAAGGCAGCAGGTAAAGGTAGCGTTCTCCCGACACCTTCACTAAGGTGCAGCGCCCCGAGCTGAAATTCCCCATTTTTGCATTTGTTATCAAGGGGTGGAGATCGGGCTGGAATAGGATTGACACAGGGATTCCACGATAGAGGGACAGATTAGTGGCCTCCCGGGTCGCTCCCAAAGCAAATTTTAAACTGAGTGTTTCAAACTAGCCATTCCACCACATTTTTCTACAGGTCTTTGTCCCTACACAATTCCCCAAAATCACTCAAGAAATGCAGGCCATTTTGTTTGTGTTTACAGATTCATCACTCACCTCCAAGGCCTCTTGGTAAGACCGGAATTTTCAACATCTGCGGTCAACAGACTATCCTGACTCGCTTTAAATTACACCCTACTCTCGCCCAACGCCTCCCGCCTTACTTTGTGAAATTTAAAGGAATTCTTAACTTCTTCTATAAAGACCCTCCTTTTCCTGTTCGAATCATTTCCAACTTCAGAGAGATATGATGAAGAAAGTGCATATGTTTTCCTGGAAAAAAAAAATGAACGCAGTAAAAGAGAAACTTGACTCATAGAGACCTAAATAAGTGTAAATAAAAAGGAAAAGGCAACTCGTGATAGTGCTAGAAAATAAATTCAAGGCAGAAATAGGAGGTGGTTCATGTTAAACACACTGTCCCATATCAAAGTGGGGACAGGCTAACCTTCCTTACTCCTTAAAAGCAATCCACTATAATAATTAAACTATTTCCAAACTGTAAACTGTTTTCAAACACCATAGTTAGCGTTTTACCAGGTTTATTTTACTTGTTATACACAGACAATACAAACGAGCAAAAAACAAAACGTTTCTCAGTGGAGCGTGTACTTGTATAAATTATTCAGTTCACAGACAAAACAAAACAAATATAAAAAATCACAACATTTGATTTACAGAAGAGCCAAAATATACACACGTTTAGACCCTGAATTCCTATTAGGAAAAATTTCCCCCATGGACTGGAATCTAGATTGAATATTGTGTATGATGCATATTTCACATTAATTTTAAGATACAAAAAAGTATGTTTGCTACACAACATTAGAAATCCTACTAATCTATTTCCAGGGGGATTAATGCTCCTTATCCAAGATAACAAGACTTAGAGGGGGAAAATCAGTCTTACTTGCATCAATGCTAGTGTTTTCCCAAGGAAGTCAAATTTCAGCTGTTTCTAAGTGGGTGGGGGTATCATTTTCAAAACTAAAATGCAGTAAAATATACAACTCACACAGTTCATCTTCACTAGACTACACTATAGTTACCAACAATTCAGTCATCTATATCATTAGTATTCATTACAAAGATTTACAGCATATAAAGGTGGAGCGGGACTGAAAGATATTCAGAAACAGTTTGTCAGCATATTTGGCACCTGCACAGACCAGTAATGGATTTGGCACTTTGGGGAAAAAACAAATAAGGCAAAATAATATTGCTGATATGGAGCTATTCTATTCAGAAGGAAGGAGGAGAACATACAACTCCAGTTGGCTTTGCTTTGCAGGCATCATGCCACTTAATGGACTTGCCTATGAACAGACACCTATCCTTCACAGGTGTTTGGGTAGATTCTCCTTAGCTATGTGTGTGCATTATGGCACCTGGTTATTATTTCATGCAACTAATTGAGGAGAAGTGAGGAACCCATCACTATGGAGTATTTCATGTTTCCAGAGCCTCTTAGAGTAGTTTTAATCAGCTCACAAGAAAATAGAGAGAAAAAAGAATGAGAGGAGAAAAAGAAAGGAGAAGAATAAAAAGGTTAAGCATGAACTGGTTTTGTGCCTTAACGATGAGAATAAAAACTAGCCATTCGTTACAATAAATTAACACTATGTACAATCATTTCACAGGCTTTGTTCCACTAAAATTATTAATATCCCTACCATCCATCCATCCATCCACTCGGGGATAAGAAAGGACGCGCTGGGTGGGTCCAGGTTCTAGAGTCAACATCTTATGGTTAATGGAGAGGCCGAGACAAGGCGGGTCGGGATCGCTGCTGCCTGACAGGTCTGCCCAGGTCTCCTAAGGGTGGAGAGTTTCCTTACGAGAAAGAGAAGGAGGGGGTGAGAAAAAGATGAAGGGAGGAGGATGTGTTAGGAGGTTGAGTTGGAAACCAAAAGGTTTACAGCAAAGTTGAAGGACGGTGCGCTAACTGCAGAGACGGCTGTGCAAAGAGAAGGTGACACCCGGAGCGGGCGCCCTGCACGTCCTCGCTGCAGACGGTCACCGAGGGTCACACGGCGCGAGGGCGCAGGGGGCCTGGGCGCAGGAGCGGGGGCGCGGGCGGAGGGCGGCGGCGGGCGGGCCGGGCGGGCAGGGGCGGCCTAGCTGTGCGAGTAGAAGCCGTAGTAGCCGCCTATGTCCTTGGCGCAGGTCTTCTCGCAGTCCCGCTGGGCCAGCACCTCGCTCTTGAGCGGGGACGAGCTCTCGGACACCGGCGTGTCCGCGGGGGAGATCCGCCTCCGCTTGGCCTGCTCGTAAATCCCCGAGTCGCTCGAGTCGATGGACTTGATGGACGAGGGCGTCTCGATCCAGCTGGAGTCGGACAGGTCCTTGGGCTTGGCGTCCTCGGCGGCGCCGGGCGGCAGCGGCGAGCGCTCGGCGGCCAGGCCCTCGGCCTCCTCGCCCAGGTAGGGGTTGGCGCCGGCCAT